GCTTCCCGATGTGGGGGGAGATAAAAACCTTCTCCCCCTTTTTTTTTTTTTTTTTTTTTTTTTTTCTATCACCATCCACTTCCCCTCTGTTATTTTATTACTAAACCTTTATGTGAGTTAATGCATTTGTACATATTCCCATTATAAAAATATAAACAAATAGCTCATAAAATGACAAACTTAAACATTGGCGGAGTTCAGTAACAACCAACTAATAATAAGAATGTATGTAGAATATTGCATCAACTCGGATTAGAATATGGGGTGAGCCCAACAACGATTGAATATTCAAGAAAGATTCTGGTATCAAATGATTTGTATACTTTGAATAAGCACAACATATTAAATATGTTGAGCAACGTGATGACAATTCATTACATACTTATTTAGAATCTGTTTGGGGCAGCTTATAAGTGCGGGCGGCATTTTCAAAACGCCGTCGTACCGTTTAGTTCGCGCGTTTCGCCAGCTTATCCGAAACTGCGTTTGCGTTTTTACATTAAACGCAGGCCGCGGTCGACCCTCGCGGCCGGCCCGCGGGCCGCGTTTCAGGATAAGCAGCACAATCTGCCCCAAACGAACCCTTAGTGTTGTGTGTGCACAGATCACCAAGAACATGCTATTTACAAATCAACCATCCTATTTCATCCATTTTTCAAATTCTCACTCAAATACCAAAATTGACGCCAAAATCCCAACCCATATTTTTCATTTTTTTATCAAATTCTCAAATAATTTGATCGTGACACACGTAAATAAATCGATTATATAGTTCAACAAAATCAAATGTGTGGTTAATTTGTAAATATCAAAGTTTCGGGTGGTCCGTACGCAATTATCTCAAAAACAAAATGCAAAATTGAAGTAAGAAAACATTATTTTCTATTAAGAGAATGTAACATGGAAGATTTGTACTTACAATATATGAAATCCATAATAAGGCAAGTTCCGATATTGTGTGGTGTGTTACAGAAGATCTGCTGCACAAAAAGCTTTATCTGTGTCGCGAACAATTTTCATGGAAGGAAGTGTTATAGCAGAAATGGGGTTCTGTTCAATTCCGCCACCTTCATCAATAACCAGACGGAGGCCATCAATGTGGAGCTTTCCATGGTGACCACTTACCACTATGGTTGGCTCTTTTGTCAGTTCCTGAGAAATTTATAAAATAAGTTGCAGTTAGGAAAGGTAAAAAAGTAATTATATAAATGAAATGAACATTAAAGTAATAAGATTTGGAATTGGAATGAAAAATATTCAAATGTTATACGCACTTGTTTATGCTTGCATGCCAACTATCAAATCCTTAAATAGCAATAGGATTGTCAAATAACAATAATAATAAGAGAAATTTACATATATACCGCTCAATTTGTACTTGGTTACATATCTAACAGCTAACCTTTTATATTTACATTTATTAGACTTTGGTTTTATAAACCTATGCCAGAAAAATGCATTTCATTTTTAAAATGTTAATAATGGTGGTATCGTTGATATGGCAAAATTTTGAGTGTTATAAATATAAATATGAAAGTCTGGGTGTTAGAAATGCAAATAGATAAGAATGATGTGGTATGTAAGTAAATAACTCTAACAATAAGTAAAATTAACAAAACTAATTGTGAACAATCTTTTTGGCATCATCTATTTAAACTTTGGAAAATTTACATACATAGGACACAATTCTTATGTATTCATATATCAAACAAATAAAATTTGATATTTGCATTAATAACACTTGAGTGTTATAAACCAACGCATGAAAAGAATTTCATTTTTAAAAATTTAGTAATAGTGGAATTTTCTATGTGATATTAAAAATTTGAGCGCTAAACATGTAAATATGGAAGTTTTGGTGTTAAATACGTAAATAAATAAGGAACACATATGGTTGGATGAATAAATAAAAAATTGAAAGAGTTAGAAAAAGATGAGTGGGGTGCCATCTCGTGACACCCTCGGAATGAACGACTAATATTCACTCCTCTGTCGAGGAAAGACGGTTCATTTAGAAGACAAGATTAAGGAATGGGCCAAGCTCGAGTTAACTCTTAAAGCAGGCTAAAGTGAACACAATAGACACAAAAAAACTTAGAGGCACAATTCTTATGTATTTATGGATCAACACCTAAACACTTATATTTACAGGCATAACATTTTCATAATTATTTATATGTAACACCAAAACATTCATATTTAAAGGCATACCATTTAAATATTTAGAATCAAATCAAAAATATCAAATATATCTTTTCATGCATAGATTTATGACACCAATGTTTTATGAGTGTAAATATCAAAATTTGAGTGTTAGACACGTAAATACATAAGAATTGAATGATATGTTTGTAAATTTCCCAAAAATTTAAAGCGGTTCACTTGAGCAAACTACATCCACTATAATGAGAGCAACGAGAAAACATTCATTATATAGGAAAAAAAAAATCACCTGTAAAATGTTAGGGTTATACAGGCTTTTTACAGATGCTTAACTATAAAAAGGAAGCAAACTAAATAACACTCTCAGCAGTTCGCGCAAAAATCTGTGAAAGATTTTATTTATTACTCTATTCTAATGCATTACAACTTATTATATATATAATAGTGTGTCTGGAATACCGGTTCCAAAAAATAGGGAATTGGAATCCTTTTAAATTAGAAATCCCATCAAATAGGAAATAGAAAAAAAATATTTAATAAAAGGAAAAAAAAATTAGTGAAATATAATCAGAGGAAAGAAAATAGAAAAAAAATTAGTGAAATATAATCAGAGGAAAGAAAATAAATTCATTCATAATCAAGCACGTGGATTAGTACTTTTCTCCATACCCCCTTAAGTTGGGTTGTATAAATTGTAAAAATCAAGCTTTAGCTTCAATTCATTAAGATTGCCTATTGATGGTGCTTTGGTGAACATATCTAGCTAAACAATTTCATCGTTAGTCTTTTTTGAGATGAAGTGTCAATTAATCTAGCTGTGTTTTGTTCTATCATAATGTATAAGATTTTTTACTATACTAATAGTTGTTTGGCAATCATTGAAATCTTAATTGTCTTTTATCCCAACCTTAAAATCCTTTAATAGCATTTGAATTTACATTCTCTCACATATTCTTAATGCAAGAGCACGATATTTAAATTTTGTACTGCTCCAAGAGACAATAACTTGCTTTTTTGCTTCTCTAATGCAAGAGCACGAAATTCTGTACTGCTCCTAGTAGTTGCCTCTCATGTCCAACTAGCATCTATACATGTCTCAACGCCATGATTTTCAGATTTTTTAAAAGCAAACCATATCCAAGAGCCACTTCAAGTATCTCAAAATTCTTTTCACAGCTTCTAAATGATTCTCACTTGAATTATTCATATGATGGCTTAGTACATTAACTGAGTGTGCAATATCAAATCTCGCATGCGATAAATATAGTAGCTTGCCCACAAGACTTCGATTTCCTTTGTCAACTAGATTGTTTTTTTGTATTTTTTTAACTTCTGTTTACCCTTTTGTTAGAATTTATGGGCGTGTCAGCTAATTTACACCCAAACATGTTAATTTCACTTAACATATCTAAGATGTAACTTAGGGATTTTATACATGTTGGTTTCACTTAACATGTCAAAAAAAAAATGTTTGTTCACAGGAAAGAAAGAAATAGGATTTAAGAATTATTTAAACAAGGAGGCCGGAGCGAAAGAATCACAAACACAATAAATGCAAAAATTTAAAGTGCTTTGGTCATGTGACCTATATTCATTATAACGAGAATTGAGAAAAAATATTCAGCATAATAAAGATACAAAGGTCAGAATGGGGGTTATAATGAATACAAGAGGACCTAGGTGAATACAAGAAAGTGTGTATCTTAGGGATCTTAAGAGCTTAGAAATAAATAAATTGAGTAAATAGGACTCGCAAAAGTCAGCACAAACTTCCTTTGTTTGTTCTTCAGTTCACCAACCAACCATTCATAAGCGATGAGCCCCTCAAGGCAGATTATCATGCTAATTATAATCAAGAAGGGACTGACAAGAGTCAAATTAAAACCTTAATGCTATTACTTCATTAGTAAAAAGTTATGTACTATAAAAGTCCTGTAATATATGGTTTGAGACTAATGAAATATCAATTATTGTTGTGGGGATTCATGTTTGAAGTATGCTTTATAAGAGCTTTGCTGATGAGTACAAGTTAGAGAGGAATTGAGAAAAACAAGAGGAATTAAGGAAATGTTTCCAAGAGGATTCACAAGATTCCGAGAGACTTTCTGATAAGGCTAGACCAACACAATTCCTAAGATCAAGGACTAGTAAATGTTTTACGGATAATTACACTAATTCATAGCTGGTCCACAAGTACAGTTGAGATGGCTAGAATCCATTGTAAATTTTAACGATTATATCCCCCTTCCCTATTTTGAAATTCTATAAAATGCTTTAAAAGGTTATGAAATATTCATACTCTGTTGTTATTTGACTTGCAAAAATCTTTGAACAGAGATATGCCTCAAATGGAGAAACAGGTGGGGACGAAAAGTTGAGGCGCTAAAGAAAAGGAGGAACAAAAGATGGGGATGTTGAGGTTGAGGAACCACAAATAGTTGAACCAATAATGAAATTTACAAAAATGAATCGAAAAATAAATAAATAAATACTTTCAAGATAACCATTCTACATATTACACCAACTACTAATATATAATTCGAAGAATTTGATGATGAAGAGGATACAAAGAAGATTAAGGCAAATGTGATGAGATTGTTATACACATCCCTTCAACTTCCCTCCTTATTCTGGAGAAAGATGTAGCACAAATGGAGAGAAAATCCAAGATTTGTTAGATACAACAAAAATGTAGCAGTTAAAGATAATTATCTCAAATTGGCTCAAACTCAACAAATGTCAAGTTGAATAACCATACTCATATTCAAATCTGACCTATCCTTGAGCACTTAAGAATTAAATATAAGGCCAATCACTCGTATTCAACCACATGTGAACTTTAGATTCACCAAAAACATTTCATTAAAATAAGTTACATATTAACAGGTACTGGAGATTGACACTCATGACCAGACACTCAAGAATCACCGTTGCGAAAAAATAAAATTTGCCATTTTTACACAATCCTCCCTAGGAAATCTTCGGATGTACCCTATCACGATTTAAGTAAACAAAACACCTAGAGAATAAAAAACATCCAATAGTTCAATGATGCCAAGGAATAACGAAGAAAATTGCATTACCTGAGGTATGTCCCATACGCTTTGCCTTCCACTAAGTTCTTCCACCTTTGGGATGCTTGTATCTTTAGCCTTTAAAAACTTTAGTTGTTCTTCAACACTTTTTGACTTCATCAAGCCAGCATGAACAGCTATGAGTTTGCAGCAAATCCTTCCTTCCGAGTGATCAATATAAACACTGTCCTGCCAAATTCATTACCGAAGAACCATCTATTCGCCTGACATATCCTCACAAGAATAACAGAAAAGGAAACTTACATATGTAGCACACAATTCTTATGTATTTAAATAGCTCACACCTAAACATTCATATTTACACACATTACACTGATGCTTTAAACCTAAGCATTAAAATGTGTCTTTGACTTTTAAAAATTTGTAATAGTGCTATTTTTATGTGATACTAAATATTTGAGTGCTATGTGTGTAAATATGAATGTTAGGTGTGCTATGTACGTCAATGTCCCTAATAGAGAGCATATTGTTTAAGATGTTCCATCACTGGAATCACATTCTACCTCCTCATGAACCCAAACTAAGTTTGCCAGAAATTTCTTATGATGATCAGGCACTGCCTTAAACAAATCTGCAGGCAATTTATATCAAAGTAGAATAAGTCAGCTTCGACAGAAATTAAGTGAGCATCTGACTTATAAACCTCATTGCATTACAATTTAACCACCAGAATTACAAAAATGGAGATAAATACCAAATCAAGAAGCAGTAATTGCAAGTGAACAACTTGCATCTATGAAGAATGCCTTCAAATTTACAGAAGATTCAATAATGTTCAATAGTATATCTTAGTATAGGTGTTGCGTGCTAGAATATTAATGACAATAAAATGAGAGATTAAGCTTTTAGTTTTCTACGAAGATAAGAAACATGCATACATAAAAGAAGAGTTAAAAAACACTAGTATTTATATAAAAAAATTGTAAAGAGAAAAAACATAAGGCCTAAGTAGTTAAAATAATCACTACATAAGTGATAATACAAAAAGCCCACTCTTCCCCGCAATTGGAGAAGACGGAATTACGAATTCATGAGAACTAGGCCTCCTGTAACTGTGGTAGTTGTGAAATGCGATGGTAGTGAGCAGGTGATGATGAGGTGATGATGACTGGATGATGGTGATCCAACAATTGCAATCAAACGACAATGGCCGGGAGGCAAAATTGAGTAACATTCAACAACAACAGTTGGGTGATAATGGTTGAACGGGGGTGGTCGAATGACAACAATCAAGTGATGAAGAATGGGGGATGTCAGTCGAGCAATGATAATCAAATAATAGCAAATGTTAATGATGGTTATTCGCATTGGTCGTCAAGCAAAACTCTAGAGTTCTTCATATTTCAAGCTCTCTTTATTTTCATGTCTAAAAACTCAATATGTAGAGAATTGAGTTCTATTTATTGTCTTTGAGAGTGATCATTAAGTTACTCTAGCAAAAATCCCAAAACACTGCATTAGATAGCCTTTGTTGACTATTTTTCTTATGAATCATTCATTCAACATTTAAATATCTTAATGAGCTTGGAATAGATTAATCATTAGATTATTAAATTCCTCTTATCTAGATGCTTGATTTGGCTGTAAACATTCAAGATTCAAAGATCAATAAACACTTCAATTAATATCGTTAAGTTTTAACCATATTTTAGATCATACCACTTTTATGTCATTAGATTCATTTTGTTGAGGAATTTAATTTAACTGAAGTTAGCTTAAATCAAAGTTTGAATGGCGCCAATATAACTTGAGAAAACCTTAAGCTCAAAAATTGCATTAATACTCGTGGTTGATTTGATAAATAATTTTGTGACGTATCAATTGTACTCTTATTTTTTAATATTAAAGCATGTGTTATTTGAAAATATATATTATTTAAAAAAAATAAATGAAGAAAGTATAAAAAAATATTACAAAGCATGACTGCTCTCTTCAAGTCAACGCGAACCTCCTCTCAAACTTATGAAATAAGAAAATTCTTATAAATTGTAATTTCACCCATTCCTAAGATTCGGGCATCAATTGCAACAAAATTGATGAAAATTTTTATTTTGCCTAAAATTGATCATAGAGGTTCCAATGAGTTTCAAAAGTGTCAAAATTGAATCAACAATGCCAAAAAATGATCTTCAAGACCACAAAAATGCTTAAAAAGACATGTATGAAATCGAGCCTAGATTTGGTTGAAAGAGTTGGTTGTTATTGCCGGTAGTAGTGCCTGCTAGCTACAAAAATGTGCAATATTTTCAAATAACATAAAAATATCTTCAAAATTAAATATTTGCATTTATAGAAAATCAAAATATAGATAAAATTATTTTTTCAAATGTGCAAGATAATTTGTGTAACTCATCATCCACCTCAAGATAAAATACCTCTGAGGGTGACATTTGCAATTTTTGCGATGGAGCTTCGGCCATCTCCTGAAAAGAAAGTGATTCTTGCTTTACAAATTGAATTTGAGGTGCCCGATGTTCTCAATCCCTATGGCGTAGTGATCTTCTCTAAAATCAAGTTAATTGCTTTCATCTGGAAGAATCAGTTCGAATGTGAGAAAGATGTTCTCAATCCCTACAACAAGTCTCCAGTCAAAGTCAAAATCTTATATTGAAACTCCAATTTTCTCCCTCATGAGAAGATAATTATCATAAAAAATTTGGTCAACTCGTACAAGAAATGATGCTTAATGCATGCAACAAATATCCTTCCCATATTGATGCATAGATGATGATAATGGTCTGCCTAAAAAAACCAAAAATTTATTTGATATATTGATTTTACTATTTTGAAGTAATGTTCTTGTTTATTTTGCACCTCGTCTAAGAAATTTTTTATTTTTTGTTATAAGATCATGTGTATCGTAAGTTCCATCACAAATTATTGCTACAAATTTCTATCAATTTAATTTTTAGAAGAATTTAGTTTTTGGAAGCCCTATTGTTGAAATTGATATTTTTTTTTCCTTGTTAATTTTTACAATCACAGAAGCCATCCGAATTTTCTGAAATATTCTCTGAATATTGATAATATTTGTTCGTGTTAAATTATCATCATTTATAGGATAAAAAATTCATGATCATTGGTTTTCTTGAATTTACTATTTTGCTAGTTGTAAACATGAAAAATTTAGGAAATTTTGCATAAATACCAAAAAAATCTTATGTATTTACAAACCTAACACCCAATGTTTGATATTTAAAATTATAACAAATTTGTGCCATAAGCCTATGGATGAAAAGGTGTGTTTCACTTTTAAAAAGGCAGTGAATGCAGTATTTTTTATGTTATATTAAAGATTTGAGTTTTGTGCATGTAAATATGTAAATATGAATGCTTGTGTTCGATATGCAAATACATAAGAACTATGTGGTATATATGTAAATTCCCCAAAAAATTATTGTATCCACTAATCAAAATGAGATGATATTTCTTGTAAATGCTCTTATGGATATGTAAATATTTTAAAAAATGTTCTAAAAATTTTCTTCAAATATTTGTTATTAGAATACTCTGAGTAGTTATTGTCCAACGATTCATGCATAGTATTATCATTGTGGAAAAATTCATTGAAGCCTCAAAGCAGGATTTTGTAATATATTTCACGTCATTGAAAAGAGAGATTAGTGATCACTTCTTTTCATAATTTTTTTTATACTTGGCATCTCTGTCTTCATTTTATCGATTTGTACTCTAATTTAAAATAGATGTGTGTTTATTTTATGAAATAACAAAGGAGCTTGACTTTCAGTTTAACACAACATTAGTAATGTCAAGCATCGATAGTGACTTTGATGTTCTTGAAATCATTTGAGATATGTTGTTACTATGACAGAATTTATCTTCTTGCCAAAAACTTGATGAGAACAGAGAAAAGTTGTTGAAGTTGACATTAGAGTTTAAAGATTTGAATACTGTAGAAGATTCTAAAAAATATCTTAAAACAATGAAAAAGGAATATTGAAATAATATATATATCAATTTTGCAGATGGCATTGATATAATGCTTCTAATGTATACAGTAATTAAATGTATATTCCTTGAATTACCGGCCTTTATGTTGAGAATTTATCACTCATAAGAAATTAAGATCTTTAGATATTTTTAAGATATACTTGTAATACTTAGATCTTGCTAAAGATTGAAACTATCATGGTTAAAATCTTTGATTTAACACAAAAAGATATCGACCCCCAATAGAGGTCTCGTAGTCTTGATCTCTTGATTAATAAAGACTTGGTCAAGCTTTTGTATTAGCATATAACCAAGGTAACTTTAGATAAACAAAGAGTGTATAACTTCTAAGATTTATATATTCTGAAGGTTTTAGGTAATTAAAATGCTTATACCATCCATACCTTTAGCCTTCTGAGATTTCTAAAGGGCCTGTTTCTTATGAGGCATTTATCCTTCTAGATTTCTTTTAAAAAGTTTAAGCATACTAAAACTTCTGCATTGTAAGATTTTTTAAAAAAACCTTAACTTCTAAAGCTTTGCATTTTTAGTTTTTTTTTTAAGAACATATATTTGCATAAGCTTTTATATTTTGAGAATTTTATAAATGATTTGTACCATCCGAGACTTTTGCCTACTAAGACTTGAATAACTTTCATTTTTTGAGATTTTTGACTTATAAAGTTTTTAAATGACATACCATTTGAGGTTTTTTGTATTTTTGAGGATTTTAATGATTTGTATATTTTGACGTTTTTAAATGGTTTTTAAATGACATGCACCTCCTGAGTTTTTTGTATTCTAAAATTTTAATATGCACCTCCTGAGTTTTTTGTATTCTAAAATTTTAGATGATTACATACCTCATCAATCACTTACACTCATAGTCTTTCTCATAAGTATCATACCCACTACTAACTTGCCATCACACCTTTCTTATATGCAGGCCTTTTATTAGATATTTAAAATAAAAATCTTGTCTGCCATTCCCCTTCATAGGACCTTTTTAGTTGAAATAATAAAATCATATATTATTTGTAAGAGAATAATAATAAATTTCATGCCAATCATAACATTATTATAAGTGAAAAGCATATCTATCACTCGCCTTCCTCGATGAATTTCAATTATCCTCTCGATAATTTTAACCACACTTTGAGTATGTGATTTAGATGTAATGTTTTGTTTCATCTACCAGGAGAAGAATCGAAACCTCGAACATTGATGGAAGAGGAAACGATGAATTGAGGAAGGGAGAGGAAATAAATTGAATGGACGGGACAGAAAATGAAGCGGGATCGAAAGTTGAAGACGGGATTTTGCCCTATAAATTGCGGGTAAGACGGGAATGCGATCAAAGAGCAAGGGAGGGAGAAGGAGATGCGTATCTTCTTAC